TAAGAAACTGACAAGGTTGTGCCTAAAAGAAAGTGCAGGAAAAAAATGAGCTCTATGGCTGAGAGAGTAATAGTGAATCCAGCATTACATCAGAGAGTGGACTATAAACCACTATAATTGATTTATATTCTATGGAGAAGAAATGCTAGCAAGAAGTTTCTCCACCAGTAGTATAAAGATATCATCAACTTCCATTTTAATGACGTGGCTATTTTCTCATAACTTCCCTGGTTAGCTGACCCTGTGTAGTACCCAATGCCCAGGCTGCTTGCCAAAGATGTAATGATATAGCCACAACCTTTCCTTGAAGGCTAAACTTGTCTGAAATCAATTATGCATCTGATTTTCTCATCCTAAAAACAGAAATGATTGGACCCCGAGTCACAGCCTTTATTTTAGAAAACTATATGAATATAGTCACTCACTCCGCAGAGCCTAACCTAGCTTTCAGGATGTTCTAGGTGCTTTCTATAGTCTAGAGATGAAAACACCTCTCTAATAGCAAAGAGCTCCCAACTCAGCAGAACCTACTTTTGGAGACTGAGAGGTTTTCTCAATAGCAAAGAGGAAGCAAAATTGTTTGGCCAGAGAAATAGTTATACTCCAGAAAGCCTGACTTGGAGCCTCTGTTCTCACTTATGAGCGTTCTAATTTATCTGGCATGAATGTTTTTATAAATGATGATAAAAATAATGAATGAACTGCATATTTCACAGTGACGCTGTGAGTATCATGTCAGAATAATGTCAGTTGCAACACTCTAAATTGTTGATCTCTAGGGGGCTGGGGAGATGGTTCAGTGGTTAAGAGCACTGGCTGCTCTTGCAGAGGGACCAGGTTGGATTCCCAGCACCCACATGGCATCTAACAATAGTGCATAACTCCAGTTCCATGGGATCTGACACCCTCTACTGACTTCTACGGGCATTGCAAGACATGCATGTATTTACACATGCAGGCAATACACATAAAAATATAATAAATAAAATATTTAAATTGATCTCTAAAGTTCATGGTCTTATACGCTTGATGCTTGTGTGTATGCATGCATGCGTATCACTACTCCATATATACAAAGAAATTAATGCATCTAACTAGGCTCCAGACCACCAATGGATGATCTTACAGTATTTTGCTGAGTACACCTAAAATTTTATTCTAGTTTGATATACAGCAGAGAGAAGGAGAGAGAGAAAGAGAGAGAGAGAGAGAACATGAATGTGAGCATATAAACATAATGCATATGAATGAATATAAAGAAAATGCCAAAGAACGCTGAGCAGAAGTCATTCCAAACAGCAGGACAGCACCGAAGCTGTACTTACTTTCATCCACACCACAGATGCATTCCTACTAGCAGATATTGTGCATGACACGGGCAGGGTATCGCCAATCTGTTTGGTTACTTCCCCACTTGGGTTTAAGGACAAATCCAAATCTGTGAGACAGAAAATCTCCTTGAAATTCAAACTGTAAGAAAGTAGGACAGTCAAAATACTTTGGACAGGAAATGATGGAAAAAAGAAGAGCATGGCCAGCTGTGCTTGAAAATTCAGAAAATTTTATGGGACTAGAACAACTGAGCTGTTGCAGATTCACCTTAGCATTAAAGCCAGTGCTGATGCTGGTTTGGACAAATGGCTGACCTGATTATGCATTTATTTTCAGTTAACAGAACTGATGTTTTGGGTGCATATAAATATTCTGTTGGGAGCTATCACCTTATGAAAATAATTAAATTACTTTGGAAAAAATAAAAATGACTAGGTAAATATAAAAAAATTGGTAAGGCATAGATAGCATTGGAAAAAGAAATATATTCAGACAGCAGGTGATAAATTGAAAGCTATGAGATAATGTACATACTTTTTAGAGAAAATTGACAAATGGTTCATTTTTTTTGAAATGCTATTTTATTTCTCATGCAGTTGAAATTTTGGATAAGATGTATTGTTAGGTACACTGTCAACAGATAACTTTAAAAAAGCATATCACAAGCATGTCTAAGGATGTACAACTTTCAGGTGAAAAATTATTTTTAAAATAAACATCTGACATTTATAGTGTGATTTGTATGAAGTATACACTGTCCAACTGAATGAATATTGGCTGTACAGCTACTATTTGTTTTGAGCACTAAGAGATGAATAATGACCTGACAATTCAATGGTGTGGAGGTACTGTGTATCACCATGAAATCAGTACCTATTAGCAAACCTTTTACACATGAGCAGCTCAGTAATTTTTGTTGAAATATTTAGTAGAAGTATAAGCAAAGACTTAACAGGAGTGTGAAGAGCAGAGAGAGCTAAACTAGGACTCAAAGCTGTAGGAGATGCCTTGTACAAGAGGCAATGTATTATATCCTTCTGACAACTGAAATGCTTTGATAAGTGGAAATGTAGGGGAAACGATTGCCACATGAACAAAAGCAAAGAGGTAAGAAAACTTGTCAGATCGTATGATGATGAATAATCTAGAATGACTGCTGATAACTCACAGATGTAGATCTATTAGTTGGGACCAGAAGTCCTTTTGTACTTTGTGTTTCTCTTTCATGATTTCATTGCACTTGTCAATTTTATGTCATTTTTTTTCTTTTTTGAATTTTGTGTGGGTGGTGAGCTGTGTGTGCATGTGACTGTGGAAGTCAAATAACAGTGTTGAGTGTCTTTCTATATCACGCTGCACATTTATTTTATTTCTATTTTTATATTTATTTATTATTTATTTATTTTTTTGTCTTGTCAAGTCAGGGTCTCCCTGTAGCCTCAGCTGGCCTGGAACTCACTATGTAGACCAGGCTGGCCTTGAATTCACAGAGATCAGCCTGTCTCTGCCTTCCAAGTGTTGGGATTAAAGGCGTGCACGAAAATGCCTGGCTGCACATTTATTTTTAAAGAAAATATCTCCCATGACCTTGGAACTCATTAATTTTCTAGATGATTGAGCAATGAGCTTAAGAGATCTACCTGTCTCCCATCTCCTTACCCTGTCTACCTGCTGCAGTGCTGAGGTTACAGACACTTCATGCCAGGTTTTTTTAGGTGGGTGTTGGGGATGGGAACTCAGGTCTTCTTGCTTATGCAATAAGCTCTTTGTGGACTGAGCCGTCTCCCTAGACCAATCAATCCCATTCTCAGTGCTTGTCTCTGCCTTTAGACAGTAAGCATCATGAAAGTCAGGGGTGTGACTTGATTTTCTCTGAGAAATCCACAAAGCCTGATATGGGGGAGGCGCTTAGGTGTGATGTTGAATGAATTGACAGAAGCATGCTTTCTAGCATCTCATTAAGAGCTGCATCATCTTAGAGAAAAGTGGAGTTTTCTTAGAATGTTTGAATGAATTAGATTTGAAAGAAATTTTTTATTAAAGGAAACAGGAGCTTTTATTAACTGGATCACAACTTGTGGATAAGAAGATAAAAGATTTGAAAGGATGAAGATGGTCTTTGAAGAATCCATGTCTGTAAGAACTGTCTGAGGAATGGTAGCTGCTTCATCTACAACGTGGGATCTGCAGGGAGATGGTTGTCTGTGCTGCAAACCTGCACAATATGGGTGCTGCTTCTCTACCTACACTCTACTCAATCACTGATGAATGGGAACCCAATTCCAGTTTTGTAAAACAAGCAAGTGAAGATAAATGGGAGGAAAATACAATTTTTGTGTTTCTATGTAATGTCTAATAAAATGATTGACACAATAATTTTGCAGCTTTTAAGGAGGCATTCAGGTCTCAAAAGCCAATGCTATAGTCAACCTGTCAAAACCAAAGTACATATGAATCTAATGAAATGCACCAAAATCCAATTAAAGAGCCCCCTTCACTGTTAATTTCCCTTCCTATAACAGTGTATCACTTAGTTATGATGTGACTGCCCCCAATCTTCTCCCTTGTCCATCTGTGTTCTATCTTTTCCTGGCTGATCTACATGTCACACATATAAAAGCTCTCTCTTTTTTAGGCCTTTGCGCCTCCAATCTCTTAAATGAAAACACATTATACAATCTCTAAGGAAATGGACAATGGGTTATTGGTCTCAAGATATGATGGACAAAGATATCAGAGAACTATTAGCAGACAGTTGTATTTCTTGGCTACATTTTTTGTTTTCACTATTCTATTTTTTTTTCTTCATAGAACAGGCCTAGATAAATGGCCCTATGACAGACTAGTCCTCAGAGGAAAAATAGCACTACTGCTCTACTTAGAGGTCACTGCTTTCTTTCTAAGGAGCCCCTGATGGCAGACACATTCAAACCTATGGAGCGTGAGTATAGAAGAAACAGAAAGGGCTTAGCTGGGAATGGTTTTCAACACTTCACTGTTTCTACAGGGCTCCCCAGGGTGTACTTCCAACATCAGACAATCAAAAGTAACCATCTGGTTGTTTTATTCTCCAATGTGTCCTCTTTGTCTCCCTTAAAGTTTTAGCTCCTATCCTGCATGCTTTCCAAGCATTATGGATAGAGTAGAGGATTCGGCATGACATGCTTAGGACAGTTTCTTAAAAAAAATGACCTTGCTTGCTTCTGCTTTTGTCTAACCAAATCCCACTCTGACTGCATGTGAGCTTCATGCCCTCCATTTTGTTTTCTGGTCCTACTTTTTGACAGATGCTTGGTGTTTGCTCTCAGCAAATGTGGGCAAAGAGAACAGCCCAGCTCCCATTCCTGAAGTTTGTGGATGTGTTCAGTCACTTATGGACCCTGTAATGCAGCAGGTAGCTCTCCCTCAGGACCCTCAGTCCTCTTTCTTAATCACTGCTTAGTCTCTCTCTCTCTCTCTCTCTCTCTCTCTCTCTCTTAAAGGAATATTTTATGCTCTGTGACATTGAAGCAAATCATGTCTAGGAGAAATCTTACTGGTTGTACGGCTGTGTGAAAAATTTGGCTATACCTACAAAAAAGGCACACTTTTCCAAAATAATGGGTGAATTGTATTCTTACCAAGGGGCCATGTCAATGAAAAATGAATCAGTATTTCCAAGAAGAATCTGATGCATTTATAATATGAACTGTCATGAATTAACAACTATAGAACTCAAGTTCCGTAGCTGGCCTTAAGAGACCTCTTTTTTTCCATGATATGCATTGACACTAAATTTTGGAGCATCTGGAGCACTAAAAGCAGTTTGAAAGTTAGTGAAAGGTGTTGCTCAAGGTGATTTTGAGGCAGTTCTGCTCTGAGAAATTCATTATCTTTCTACAGCGGATAAATTCAGTCGACAAATGTTTTTTGGTCACCTCTATTTCTTCAAATAGCTGAGTCTGTAGCAAATTGTGTTGCCTGGATCTGAGTATTAATACTAGTTTATAATTTTAAAAAGAGATATATAATCTACATTTTTCCTGGCCAACTGCAAACTTTGTTAATTTTCAGAATATCTAAACAGAACTTCTGTGTGTAACTAGGTATCAGAATACTTGCTTTACATGTACAAAGGCCTGGGTTTCATGCCCAGCACTGCAAACACAATTACATTATATACACACACACGGATACACACATAAATTACTTAAGTATATAGTGAGTTATTTAGTCCATATGAAAAGAATTTATTTTTATAAAAAACTGAAGAAATTTAGAAAGAAGATGGAAATTTACCATTGACTAATTGGCAATTACCAGATGCATGCAAGGTTTCAATAGTACACTGCCAACCTGCTTGGGAGATGAGCTCATTCTGGTATTCTGGTGCTGTTTACTAAGTCAACTGAAGCCAAGTTATTGAAGGACAAGAGAAGTTACTTTATTAGAAAAGTTAGCCATGTAATATGATTAGAGGCCTTGAAGGGATGTGGGTCATGAAGGAGCTGACTTACAGTGAACTGTGATGGCTGTGGAAGCAATCATGCTTTTTTTGTCTATCAGGGAGCATCGGTAGTCTCCTGTTGCATTGCGCTTCACATCTGTCAACATGTAAGGATTCGAGCTTCTTATTCCTTCAGGCTGACCCTTTTGATAGAGGCAAAATGTCAGAGCGTTATACTTGGCAGCTAAAATGAGAATGGTTGTATTTCTTCATGAAGATGCCATTTTCACAGATGAGAGAAAAAGTTAACCAGTCTTTTTGACTGGACAAAAATAAAATGATTAAAATTTCTGATATCAACATTTGATTCCTTTTTTATTTTATTTTGGTACTAAAACTTTTTTGAAAGTCTAAGTTATATGGTATTGACAACATTCTTTTATTTACAACATAGCTTGCATTTGAATTTTAAAGTAGTTTATTTTTTTTGGTCTTTTTGAGACAGGGTCTCCCTGTAGTTGCAGCTGTCCTGTAGACCAGGCTGGCCTTGAACTCACAGAGATCCACCTGCTTCTGCCTCCTGAGTGCTGGGATTAAAGGCGTGCACCACCATGCCCAGCTTAAAGTAGATTTTTTAAATGTCCAATATTTTATTTTTGTGTGTATGCCTTATCTAATTTGACAAAAAGATTTGAGGAAGTCTAAAAGAAAACATGTACCAGGTACTAGGTACACACTCCTAACTGTATCATTCAGGAGTTGGAAGCAGAAGGATTGGGAGTTCAAGGCTAGCCTGAGTGAAATAGTGAGTTCACGGTCACCATCAGCTACATAAGACACTGTCTCAATTAACTAAGGCATGTGGATGTTACTGGGCAATACAGCACTTGCCTAATATGTGCAAGGCCCTAGGTTTCATCCCAAGTACAAGGAAGGAAGGAAGGGAGGGAGAGAGGGAGGAGGGATGGAGGGAGGAAGGAGTTCAAGGCTAGCCTGAGTGAAATAGTGAGTTCACGGTCACCATCAGCTACATAAGACACTGTCTCAATTAACTAAGGCATGTGGATGTTACTGGGCAATACAGCACTTGCCTAATATGTGCAAGGCCCTAGGTTTCATCCCAAGTACAAGGAAGGAAGGAAGGGAGGGAGAGAGGGAGGAGGGATGGAGGGAGGAAGGAAAGCAAGCAGGTAAGCTAGCCATACATACAAATAACAAGGAGGAACAGACAGGAAGCAAGCAGAAAAAAGAATGAGAACTAAGAAAGAAGGAGGGAAGAAGGAAAAAGAAAGGAAAACAAATCAAAGGTGGGAAAATATAGATGATGTATGAGTATAAACAACAACAAAGAAAATCAGCTTATATTATCTAAATCTAAAACAAATTGTGCTCTGCCATACTTAATAGCCAAAGTGGAAACTCAGTGAGTTTCAGATTTTCCAGATGAGAAAATGATCGTGTAACAAATTAATAGGGAAAACATTGTTTTCTGTTAGCATTTATGTTTATAAGAAATTTCTTATATTCATCTTCTGAGTAATTGCAATGAATTGCATTGTCAAATACTACAAGCTGTGTTGTGAGTGAATACATAGTAAACCCACCACTGCAGTAAATGCGTATTTGATAGCGTATCGCTTTCTTGAGCATGATGGTGGTATCACACATGGCTCTCCTGGCCAGGCCATACAATCACTATGGCTCTCAGACATCTAGAGGAATTCCCCAGGTTATCTTCTATGCGGGTTACTTCTTTCAGCTAAGTTAAGAGTAAAAGCTGAGGAACTGATTCTTTAAGCCTTTGAGAAGGAGCCTACAGCATTATTCTGTTAAGCTAGCTAAGGTATGCAACAGAAAAACCTCTGCTGCAAAAGAGTGGAGTGCGAGACAATGCTGTGTGTGGATCATCCACATCAGACCACTTGCCATCATTGTTTTTCACTTTTATAGTTAACTACTTCTGAAGAGAAGAAATGTATGGCTTATTTGGACAATTATACCTTGAGTTTTTGCAGTTATGGTTTCCTGTAATTACCTCTTTTTCATCTTCGTCTTTGAAATATCTAAACATTGAGGAAAAAGGAAAGAACACTAGTGGATGCCACAAAAGCTTTCAACGAATGTTCTACAGGTGGTGTGTATATGTGTGTGTGTATGTGTGTGTGTGTGTGTGTGTGTGTGTGTGTGTATGTTTCACATAAGATACCCAAGCACATATAATTCTTCATGTCAGTTAGAAGCTTGACATCAGGACAAAATGAGAGTAGTCAAGCTCAGCTCATACTTCAGCACTTACCGGTAAGTAAAACACGAACTCCTCAGGAGGAGGGTTGCCATTCCCCAAGCACTGAAGAGTGATGTTGTCCCCTTCCTTGATGGCATTTTTTGGTGGCAGCACCTGTATCGTCACCTGCTCTGTAGGATCTGTAAGAGTCGCAGGCACAAGTTAACCATTTTTGTCAAGTACCAAATTACTCTGTGCATACAATGTAAATGACTAAATTATACACAATTTTCTCAAGAAGCTAGTAATGGTAATTACTTAAATGTATCTTTTTATAGAGGGATTGAAGTTAATAGCCACTTGCTATACCAAGTACTAATCTTACTTAGAGAAAACTACAAAGAGACCTGTAACATAAAAATCAATTTCTTCTTAGCAAAATGTCTTTAACTGAGGTGGCAATGACTGTAATTATTTTATGTATGTAAAAGAACAATCTCACTGTGTGACTTCATTATAAGGAAATTTAACAGTGTTATATGAATCTTATAGCTTGGAAAGACCAAATCATGTAGTGAAGTCACTGAAGCTATTAGGTACCAGTGCACTCTTATTACACAATAATGCCTCATATTAAATAAAAGGAGGAGGTAGGAGCTACACAGCACAAGCACGGGTTTTGGCATGCAGGAGAATAGGTCCACTTTCAAGAAATGAGCTCCATGAATACACA